TCTCAATACACCTAACAATGTGGCAGTTTTGTCACAGATGCTCCAGCTAAACGAGCACCAACGATGGTCTTCTTTGAAAATTGGAGGAGGAGTCTTCCATTTTCTGATTCTTACACATGGACTGTCACTCAACACAACCACCAATGTACTTAAACAAGCACAGTGTGAACAAACAGAAGAACAACATTCGGTGTTGCCAACTGAAGTTCTTTCAATGTATCCACAAAAATTTTATTCCTCAACTAGCATTTCCATTATTTTGTCCACCACCTGTGTGTGTGTGTGTGTGTGTGTGTGTGTGTGTGCGCACGCACACACAAAACATTTAATTTTGTAAAAGAAAATGTTAGGTGTATTGTTTGATTACAAGAGAATTAATTTGAAATGCATATATACAGTGTCATGTAGCCTGGTAACGTGACAAGTAATGGGTTCTCTGGAATGATGACTCGATTTATTGGACGATCACCAGGCGGATCTACAAGTACTTATAACACTTCGGAAGGTTACTGGAACAATAACACATAAAGTCTTCAACACTTCCACACTTAGATTCTCCTTGTACAAATTCAGTGAGCAAGTCTGTACCCAGTCTCCTCTCTTCTGTCTTGTTCTTGGACTGGGCTTCTACTACTTGGCAGGACCCTCCAGTATCTAATCTCTTCTCTTCTCTATTCTCCTTCTGGTTAATTCTCTCGACCTAAGCTGGCTTCATGCCGACTGGATATGAAACACTCCGTGCAACTGTACAGTTCTTCATTTTTGCTGTTGTCATCAAAACGTGTCTTCCATTGCTGTGTGAACAATATTTACCTAGCTGTTGTAATGGAAACGTTTCTGTATGTCTTGCCTAGGAACCAATGTTCATAACCTTGTATACGGGTTTCAACAAGCTGTTCCCTAGCAATGGATTTACATGTCACTATGGCTGCGCCATTGCTCAAACAGTTAGTCACTGGCTTCCCATCATGGTGGCCTGGGTTCGATCCCAGGTCTGGTCAAGTGGGATTTGTGGTAGACAAAGTGGCGCTGGGGCAGGTTTTCTCCGAGTACTTCAGTTTCCCATGCCAATCTTCATTCCACCAATTGCTCCACAATCACCCTCACCTATCATCTGGGGCTGGTACAATATGCCAGAAGTGGCTGCAGTACAACGGACTTAGTCCCGCCCCACTAGCAATAAAAAAAATTACATGTTACTATAGGTTAGTGAAGATTTATGTAAGCCAACTATAGAACTGATCACTATAAATTGAGTTGTTTAAAATAATTAATTCTATAAAGAATCTAAAATTTACCAGTGCCAGGAATCATATATAACAATTTTGGTTATTTCCATTAATACAAAGCAAATCTGAAATGTATTCTCAAGATACAATTTTAAACTGATAATGATATCAGAGAGAACAAGTAGTTCTTACAGAAAGACAAGAAATGAACTACTGTAGTTGTTGATGAACTGTGAGAGCATTAGAAAACACAAACATCTCAAAATATGGATGTGGAGACCATGCCAAAGGTATAATGATGGACCAGAAGAACGATGATATTCTCTTTTAACTGGGATCAAATGTCAAGCTGCATTTTTCACTGTACAAAGTTTAAAAGCTGAATGGCAGACAAAGAATATAAATGAAATGATTTAGTTAAAATGAGAACATTCAGAAAACAGTTTTCAACTAAGTTTCATTTCTATTTTTAAGTATTTCCAAGTTAATGCTACCCATTTCATTGGTTAATAAATTATAAAGGTTCCGATATACTTCTTTCCTAAGCTGTGACTACAAAAACCAAATATGCCATTTATCCTGAAGGAAAAAATGATTGAAAATTTTGGGACTTTACTTCTTTTTAACTGTAGTTTTCCCTATGGAACTTTGAAGTAAGATGTCATGCTAACTGGTTGCTGACAAAGGAGTGGGTCCTGTAGTTAATCTCTGAATAGACTCTTGAGATGGTATTTCTCTTACCCTTGTTAGAAAGGTAACATTTCATCTGTTAGCCTTTACATTGCTGAGTCCTCAATACAACGGGCATGTCTCAACATGGCGTCCTCACTGCACCCGCATTCTTATGAGCACCATCTTTATAAAAACATAACATCCAAACTAATTTTCTGAATGCATTCAAACTTGCCAGGCATATACTTCCACCTGTCATGAACATAATGATCTAAAAGGCTCTTGCTGTGTTTGTATTTCATCTGCAAAGGAATTTAGAAACTACTACATATATCTAGAAGCAGGAATATCTTCCTCCACACTTCACCTTACTTTGCCCATCTGAGGGAGAGCAAATACATCTGGACCAACCAAAACCACTTCATCAAATGTAGGATTTAGTATAGATGTACTACTCAAATTTTTACTTGATTTACATTTATATTCATAGATTAGCATTACAAAATTAATTCAGAGCAGAAGTCTGTTTAGGTTTTATTTACTCAGAAGCAAAAGGGTTAAAGAAAAGTCCAGTATGATAAGGCAAGGCTGGGGGTCAGTTAGAAGAGGCTAATGGACACAACATGTAAGAAGTCTGGCAATAACAAAATGCCAAAACATATTATAGGATGGAAGCCTTAAGTTCAGAAGTTTAGGAGTCCACGCCTTCTTACCCTTGGCCTGATGAAGACGATGAATAGAAGATTACACACCAATTTGTGAGAATTTTCTTTTTCCCTTGTAACATAAGGGTGATGGGGCACGCGGTAGCATAGTTAGTTGAGCCACAACGCTACAAGCCGGAAGGTCACGGGTTCAAGTCGAAATGAGATCACTGGATTTTTTCAGTTGACCTAATCTTTCCAACCGCACTACAGCCCTGGGGTCGACTCAGCCTCTAACAGAAATGAGTACCAGGAATATTCTTGGGGGTAAAGGGCGGCTGGCACATAGGGCTGACAACCTTGCCGCCGTCTATGAGCTGATTATCTAGAAAACATGGGAACCTCAACATCTCACGGCCCTATGGGCCTCTATGGTCTGTTAACAGGGATACCTTTATTCTTTTTTCATGGGAAGTACATAACTTTCTTTCCGATACTCTGGTGCAATTCATACAACAACATTTAAGATTTCAAAAGTTTGCTACAAACCTTGCTCATTGTCCTTCTTGATTTAATCACCTTAACATTATTAGATGAAAAGTACAAATTATTAAATTCCTCAGCATGCTGTCTCTGCATGTGTAATTAAATCCCTAATGCCAGTGCCAGAAAATTCAAAATCACTAATTTCTTTACTATCTTACCATATCTGTTATGTTAAGTACCTGTGTGTCTGCAGATGGTTGCTGAAAACATTTCTCATAGCCACCAGGTAATGTTCCACGCCGTCCACAGTAAGTCTGTACATGCCCAGGTACTGAGGAAGGAGTGTCTTTCCATGACGCTCCACAATGTACTGTACCAAGAGATAAATATCCTGTAAATTATTCTCCACTCTGTTAAAACTTCTTTTGCTAAGAATTTCACAAAATAAACCTTGTTAGTGTACTTATATAATAACGTACAATGACTGTTGTAATTAAGAAATCCAATCACCATAAAAGTATAACTTACTGGATGGTAGTGTTTTAGGAATGAGTGCATCCTTTCTACTTCTTCACTGGTAAGGGACTTCAGTATGAAGAGCCGATCATATGACTGGTAAAACATCGCACCACTCTTCCCTGATGAGTCCACTAATACAGGCTGAGACCTGACACCAAACATAAGTGTCAAGGAACACCAAAGAAATTATCAAACTGCACACTCTTCAATCAATCTCTACTTTCATGTAGTATAGTAGACTTAAAACACAGACACTGATTATAAACAACAGCAAGTTAATTGATACACCAGATTAAAACTATTCCTTCTTGCTTCAATTATGGACCACTATCATCTTCTCCATATTACCCTTCTATCTATTCTTTGGATACAAAATGGGTCTTCTTCTTTCAGAATTCAGATATCCTGATAATCCTGTTAAGCTCCATATGACTTACATATGCTTCCCATCCTTTCTTCTTGCATTCATTTACTTCAGCAGCCAAACGTTACATATCGTACAGCTTCTGACACAGTCTCTTCTAGTTTGTCCAACAGTTCATCTTAACTTTTTCAATTCTGCTGTTTCAGACAAAAATTCATTAAACATAGTGTCCTGTAGTGTTTCTGATGGAGTTGAACCAGCTTTCACAGGTGGAAAACATTTTACACTTAAAACAATTTCCTGTTGGAACTTTGAATTTTGTAAGAAACGTCGAGGAAATGTGGCTGAAGAAAAACAAAATAAAATCAATTCACATCAAACCAATCAATTCCAGAGTGCATGGTTTTCCTCAAAACATATATTACAACAGATATTCCATTGGTCAAGAAAATCTATGCTTTTACAGAACTGGAAGCTTCATTACTGTACTCACAAAACTCCTCCACTGGACCCTATCCTGAACTAGATGAATTCAATCAATGTCTACATACCCCATTCCCCAAGAGCAATTTGAATATTAACCCTTCGCCTACAGAGTTTGGATAGCGCAGTCAGTATAGCAACTGGCTATGGGCTGGATGACCAAGGGGTTGGCGTTCAAGTCCTGGTAGAGTCAAGAATTTTCTCTGGGGTTCACCCAACCTCCTATCCAATGGGTACCAGGGGCTCTTTCCCTGGGGGTAAAGCAGTAGGGGCATGAAGCTCACCACTCACCTCCAGCTAGTGCCAAGGTCAAGAAAATGTAGATCTATACATCCACTCCACCATATGTCTTCATTGCATAGTTCTCAACTGGTAAAGAACAAGTACAACTTTACCTTTTACCCTCTAGGTACGCCAAATTATACCACGCGGTCCTTTCCTTGAAGGTATCCTGACCAAATAAGTGTATCCTTCCCCCATATCTGTTACACATCCTGTCCATCACATCATTCTAGATTTAATCAAGAAGAGTGCAACTAACACCTTACAGGCTATCACCCATCTTACATCCTGACACTTACCTGGGTACATTGTTTTCAGAGTTGGTAATGGAAATTCTTTCCTCAGAACAAGGGATCATATGTCAGTCACAGAAAACAACCAATAAAATAACTATTTTGTGTGTGTGTTTGTCTGAAAAACTTACATCTGAAATAAGAACTTTCAGAACTGAGATACACATATTGTTTTAGCATCATTCATGAGGGAAAACAAGAAGTCTAACTTAGTAGCTGGTACCACTACAACTTGGGGTGCACTACAAGTAGACTGCTTGGTGTGAATCATCAAAATGTCAGTTGCTATGATGCTGCAGGAAAAGGAACAGTGGCTAGCCAGACCACCACACATAACACCCAATGACTTCTTTAAGGAATTATGCAAAAAGATGTGTATACACACTCCACTGGCCAACATCAACAATTTAGAGAACACAATTGCTACCGCTGTTGCAAGAGAAAACAGTGAAATATAACAGAGCATTTACATAGAGAGAGAACATTGTTCATACATTTTATATGTTAAAAATGATGCGCATGTTGAATGTGTTCAAGATTCAACAACACTTTTAACACTCCCTCACAGATGGCACAACAACAGTATGTACATCTCATGTCCAAGAATTTTGATTTTGACATTTAATTTGTAAAAATAAATAAATAAAGCAACAAAGGAATATACGAGGTGCTATTGGAAAGTTCCTGGACTAGGTCAAAGAAGAAATGTTGGCTTAACTTAATTTTTGTTGCCATCTCCTTCAAAATAGTCTCCTTGGGAATGTATATAGCGATCTCATCGTTTTTCCACTCTTCAAAAGCATCACGGAAATCATTTTCTTTATGCTGTGGAGTACCGCTTGCGATTCCCTTTGGATGTCAGACACTGTTTTAAATTGTCGTCCCTTCAGTTTCATTTTCAATTTGCGAAACAAAGTGAAATCCCTGGGGGCTAAGTCCGGCAAGTAGGGAGAATGGGGAACAATAACCATATTGTTGTTAGTCACAAATTCTGTGATTTTGAGGGACATGTGGGTGGACGCGTTGTTGTGATGAAGGAGCCAACTGTGGCTGCGCCAAAGTTCCGGTCTTTTTGTCACACATTTTTCTCTCAAGCATTTCAAAACATCACATAGTGTTAACAGGAAACAAATTCACCATCAACAATTCCCTTCATGTTGAAAAATAATGAGCATGCTCTTTATTGCACTCTGGACTTGCCATGCTTTTTTTTGTTCTTGGTGATTGTGGGCTCTTCCACTGCAACACCTGTTGCTCTGTTTCTCACTCATAACTGTAAATCCAGCTTTCATCACTCTTTATATTCCTGGAGATAAAACTTGGGTCCTTGTTAGCATTCTCTCATAGCTCAAGACACATGTTTACATGCCACTGCTTTAGATCATTTGTCAAGAGCCAGGGAACATATTTCGGGGCAATGCGGTGCATGTTCCAATTTTCTGTTAAGATCTCCTGGTAAACTCCATTACTGATCCCAATGGTGTCTGTGAGCTCATGGATTGTTAGGGAATGGTCTTCATGGGTGAGTTGTTGAATTTTGTCAACATTTTCTGTCATTTTGCTGGTGCTTGTTCACCCTGAACATTCATCAACTTCAACTGACACTCAACCAGCCTTGAAAAGTGAATGCCATTCAAAGACCGATGTCCAGCTCAAAGAATGTTCTCCAAAAGCCTCACAAAGCATTTCAAGGGTTTCAGTAGTGGATTTACCAAGCTTCACGTGAAATGTGATGCAGACACAGTGCTCAATTTTGCCATCCATCATAGACAAAATGAAACATGAAGACGAAAAAGCACTCATGTAAAAACAATGTGTTCATAGCGAGGTGTCATGTGGTGCACTGATGCAACAGACTTGCGGAAGTGTGACCTTTGGCTCCCCTCTCATCTTCTTTCACTGAGGCAGTTACATCAATAACAGCTCCATGCATCCCAGACACCAGCACTAGATGGAGGTGAATGGCTCCTTGTGAGGAAAAAGACAACAGTACAAACGGGATATCAGGCTGAGTGGACCCTCAACCCAGTTTAGATGCTGTGTCAAAAGAAAAATCTAGGAATCAAACCCCAGATGTCCAGATAGAAGCTACCCACTTTACTGACTGAGCTATCTACTACATACAAATTATTTACAACTGCAAACATAATTTATAATCACATAAATTACATATATTCTATCAGAAAGACGACTCACAAAACCAGCGCTTTTAGTAACACATACAAATACAGGGTTTTGCCCAAAAAGGATTAATTCCAAAAAGAAAGAAAAAAAAAAAAGAAGGAATTTTAATGTTTTGGATTGGATTTAGCTAACCATGCCACATGTTTTGATGCAAAAACAATTAGTTCTGGGAAGAACTCAAGTATTTTTCTTAAATTCTGCTATCTTTACAGTAATCCAAAACTATAACTATACCATATAACACTCCACTTGTGTGCATGACTTGTAACAGGATAGATTCTGACTATGTTCAGTCTGGACATAATATGACAATTTTTTAAATGTTGTCATGATTGTAATTATTAACCTGTAAAACACCGTTTCATGTAGAATTTATCGGTATGTTTATTATCTCATTATTCAGAGTTTCAAATTTCTAATGGTCCATTACTTATCAATACTGAATGGAAAGCAAAATACATATTCCATATTGCCAACACGTTACTGTGTTACATTATACAAAAAATACTTTTATAAATGCTGAATGTTTTAAACAACAACTGCTACACAAAATTTCAGAACCCTAGGGCAATATACTAACAGTGGCACTTCCACAAATTTAAGAGAGGGGTCCCTCTAGTGGCATGTTAATGTTAAATATTGTGTCGTGGATGGCGCAACAGGAAGTAGGGGTCACGTGAACTCTGCGACTCCACGGGTGACATCACGTAACCCCACTCCTATCATTATGCAACGCTCGGTGAACACCCCTCCCCGTGAGGCTGTGACATCACATGACAGGTAACTCCGTGCAGCGACTATCGCTAGGCAATGCATAGGTAGAAACACCTGACAATACCTGATATCTGTTGCCGAGCAACTAGGTGTTCTCTATGTTATCCGTGGTGAGCCTAAATACAGAGCAGCGAACACTATTCAGGAGTAGTGAGTATTGAGTCCGTTACTAGAGACAGAGTAACCAGTCAGTTGCAGTCTAACATTCACTGGAGTGAATGGAAGCAGGAGAAGTAATTGTGATACTGCCGATGGCAGTAATTGTGAGATTGTGAATTGTATGAGCATAAGAGAGAATGTAGAATAAATTCACTACATTCAATACAGTGTAAAGTTATTTGTCGCATTACAAACACCCAACACGTGACAATATTATAGAAATCTGTCACACAAGGATTCTTTTTTTGAGTGGCATAGGGAACATGATACCATGAGTATATCCTTCCTCAAAAAACAAGAAATGTAGGCTAATAAAGTGAATCCAGTCATGTATAGCATTTGTAAACATCTTGATACAAATTTGGGCAAATTATTCCACCTTTACTAGTCTCCCACGAACCTATATTCTTCTTGCATCAAAGTCTTCAACTGTCTAATTTATGGTACTTTCTATTGTTATCCAAACTAGGTTTTCACACTAAACAGAAACATGTTATCTTTCGCTGACAATGTCTGCACTCCTACACTTCCTCGCAACTAAAGTACTACTCCAGTTTCTTGGTCAGTCATAAAATATTAGAACATTCCACACATTATGTGGCCTGGAAG